ATTCACCCATGTATTATTATTATTATTATTATTAATCACCAAAAACTCACCAGTCATATAATAATAATAATTATTATTATTATTATTATAGCAGTAGTAGTCGTTTAATTACATGTAACGTTATATTTCTCGAGTCAGAACTGAAACTATCCATTTACGATCAGCTGATCTCCTGGAAAAGCCCAGTGTTTCCCCTGCCATTATTTTAGGGGGGCACTAAAGGTCTCACTAAAGAGGACATAAATACACGAACAACATCTCCAAAACTGCTCTTAGAGTCACTTCATCAGCATTTGATCGTTTCATTTCAGTAAAGCTATCATCATGTCATACACACACAGAAATGTAATGGTATTCACGGCAACCCGTCAAAATAAAAGTTCGGTTTAACTTGAGGGCATTGCGGCAGAAATACATTACTGTTGTTGAGTAGAATGTACGTAACAGACTGCTACTACTACTACTAAAATTATTAAAACCTTATTTTTAAGGAATAAGCATTCAGCATTTCTTCAATGTTTTAATTGTAATATTAAATGACCTTTATTTTCCAAAAAATGTAATTTGTTTAATTTTCATTACTTAAAAGATAGATTAAATGAATGTTTTATGCCTTAAAACAAAATGCAAATACACAACACATAATTGTTGCCCCCCAAAAGCCGTAAACCTAGGGGAAACACTGAAAGCCTTTCAACATCCGATGAGGACGAGCTGATAGTGTTTGGAAGTTCATGCCATTGTGGTGAGGTCAGATGTATTTCGGTAGGTTTCCCATTTAAGTCCACCTTTTTCATCGTTTACAGACATGTTTATGTCCTATCCATATAAAGCTGGATGCTCCGAATGCTCACATAAACTCAGCTTTGGAAAAGGAGAAGGTTCTTCAATATTTCTTAATTTGAGAAGGTTAAATGCTGTCAACATAAGATGTACAGCTTTACTGGTAGCACAAATAAATGCAGCAATTTACATTCTGCGAATTAAATTTTCTTCAACCCCGTTTAACGGTCTAGTTTTTATTTGTTCATGCTGTGCGACACCTGCTGGTCGTGTTTAGCACACTGAACCACACGTCCCAAACAAATAGAAAGACCGTATATAACGTTACTTTGTTTGTTTGTAGCCTATAACTCATTTAACTGAATACATATGAAAGTTATATGTATTTGAGCTAATGATGTGGTTATGTAATTCTGTTATGTCCCACTAGATGATGCTGAATTCTCAAATAAAACCACCCAAATTTACTTTCATGTGACCAAAGGGATATGCAATGGTAAATGTGATAAATTTGCTTTAATTTTTAAAATGATGATTCACTTATATTAAAAGTATCTTGTATTTCACCTGAAAAGCAAGCCGGATTATTATACTGTCAAAAAGTTCCAAAGAAAAAGTTTGATCAAGACTTGTAACTTAAGTTTGCTTGAAGCGGAGTCACTTCTTGTAGAAAAACACACCCACTGCACTTACACGAGTAAGTCGTATGTAACTGAAATGTCATGGTCCACCCTATTCATAAAGGCTGAAAATAGGTACAATAATTGCAGATGAAGGAATGCCTGTACCTTAGTGAAAGTTTAATTTGTTCTTCAGGGGGAAAAAAAAAAGGTTGTACGCGCATGTTCATGCATCAGCGTTGCAGTGGAAACATGTCTGCTCAAGAACAAAGAATCACAATATGGAGAAAACCCAACAAAATTAATATAGCTGTCTAAGGTAATAAGGGCAGAAATGTAAATACAATTTGACGTTTGCTGATTGTATCATTTATTTGGAGTTGACGCAATTATGCAGTTATTGGAAAAGACCCTAAAGTCTAAATTAGATTTAGATCAGCTTACCGAGAGCTGATAGTGTTTGGAAGTTCATGCCATTGTGGTGAGGTCAGATGTATTTCGGTAGGTTTCCCATTTAAGTCCACCTTTTTCATCGTTTACAGACATGTTTATGTCCTATCCATATAAAGCTGGATGCTCCGAATGCTCACATAAACTCAGCTTTGGAAAAGGAGAAGTTTCTTCAATATTTCTTAATTTGAGAAGGTTAAATGCTGTCAACATAAGATGTACAGCTTTACTGGTAGCACAAATAAATGCAGCAATTTACATTCTGCGAATTAAATTTTCTTCAACCCCGTTTAACGGTCTAGTTTTTATTTGTTCATGCTGTGCGACACCAACTGGTCGTGTTTAGCACACTGAACCACACGTCCCAAACAAATAGAAAGACCGTATATAACGTTACTTTATTTGTTTGTTTGTAGCCTATAACTCATTTCGTCAGCGTCATTATTCAGGTGTATTTTTTCTATTTTTATGCTTTATTTGAGCTTTCAGTTAACAGTAGGCTATTGTACAACAAAATTAGAACTATCAATGCTTTTAAGAATAGCAAGAGAAAGAGTAACAGTAGTTAAAGAGAGCATTAAGAGAACACAATGTCAAAGCGGGCGTTACAAAACAAAATACACAATTAACGTGAAGAGTTTGTATTCAGGTGTCATTTATTGTTCACGTGTGGGTTTTTCTTCAGCGCTGTTTAGATGGACTGTCCAATCAGTCTTTTGCATTTAAGGGAAATGATTGCATAGAGATTTTATAGAGAGTGGGTATTTGTATGTCAGATACCAAAAGAGGATGCTTTTCGATCATGTAAAACTGAAGTTATATGTAATTGAGCTAATGATGTGGTTATGTAATTCTGTTATGTCCCACTAGATGATGCTGAATTCTCAAATAAAACCACCCAAATTTACTTTCATGTGACCAAAGGGATATACAATGTTAAATGTGATAAATTTGCTTTAATCTTTAAAATTATGATTCACTTATATTAAAAGTATCTTGTATTTCACCTGAAAAGCAAGCCGGATTATTATACTGTCAAAAAGTTCCAAAGAAAAAGTTTGATCAAGACTTGTAACTTAAGTTTGCTTGAAGCTGAGTCACTTCTTGTAGAAAAACACACCCACTGCACTTACACGAGTAAGTCGTATGTAACTGAAATGTCATGGTCCACCCTATTCATAAAGGCTGAAAATAGGTACAATAATTGCAGATGAAGGAATGCCTGTACCTTAGTGAAAGTTTAATTTGTTCTTCAGGGAAAAAAAAAAAAAAAGGTTGTACGCGCATGTTCATGCATCAGCGTTGCAGTGGAAACATGTCTGCTCAAGAACAAAGAATCACAATATGGAGAAAACCCAACAAAATTAATATAGCTGTCTAAGGTAATAAGGGCAGAAATGTAAATACAATTTGACGTTTGCTGATTGTATCATTTATTTGGAGTTGACGCAATTATGCAGTTATTGGAAAAGACCCTAAAGTCTAAATTAGATTTAGATCAGCTTACCGAACAAATCATATTCATTAATAACAATGTAAGCAAAATTCCACAGTGAAATTGAATCCTCGTGTTTTTTCAGGATCTGTGTCTTAATCATTTCAGTCTGGGTACATACAGTGCACTTTGAAGCTTGGTAATTTAGTGTAAATGTTAGAGCGTGAGGGGGCTGACGGGGCCTGAGAGGGAACTCCTGTGATCTGTGTGGCTACAAGAGGAGGGGCTTTCCAGGGGAAAGGGCATCTGCTTTGAATCCCACCACGCGGGCCGCCTCCACCCCACTGTTATTTTGGTTAATTGAAATTAAATCTTCAAAAAACATTACTTGAATAATTTTTTTTTTTTTTTATGTAATAAAATAACTCAAATTAAAATAAAAAAATAAACTATAGGCAATAACTATCGTAATAAAAATAGGAAAAACAACTAAATTACTAAACCTAACTAAAATTAAAATGGACAATATAAAAATAAAAAACACTGGTCTTAAAAGTTTCACCCAGTGGACAATAAAATGCATGGGAAAATCCCATATACACTACCATTCAAAATTGTGGGGTCAGTATTTATTTTTTATTTTATATATTTGGAAAGAAATTAATGAACTTTTATTCTGCAAAGCATTCAATTTAGCAAAAAAGACAGTAAACATTGAAAGTAAACACATTTATAATGTTACAAAACATTTCTACTTCAAATCAATTTTATTTTAAAAAACTGCAGCAAATCAGAATATTAGAATGATTTCTGAAGGATAATGTGACACTGAAGACTGGAGTAATGATGCTGAAAATTCAGCTTTAGCATCACAGGAATAAATTCTGTTTAAAATATATTAAAATAGTAAACAGATATCTTAAATTGTAATAATATTTCACAATATTACAGTATTTTTGATCAAATAAATGCAGTCTTGCTGAGCATAAGAGACAAGATCTTACTGACCCTAAACTTCTGAACGGTTACATACAGAGAGACTAGAATAGAGAATTGAGGGTGGGCTATTTTGACCATGTAAAAATATTGTTTCTATTTGTGCACTGCAAGCTAGCTATTCACTCAACATTACTCAACTTTTGATTACTTTCAACTTTTTTCTAACATTGTTTTTCCACACATTAAGTGCTGCTCAGTCATGATGATTTGACTCCTAATATCTTGATCAGATAAACCATCAACTGTCACTAACAAACATGCGTAAACACCCGCAATGGGAACTTTATGTTGTCTTTTCCTCAACTTAATTCATCTTTATTATGAAGGGCGATAAGGGACAGTATTCCGTGTAGGCGAAGGACTTTTGGATTACTGGCCCCAAGGCGGCTTATCGTGGGGGTTCGTTAAGATGACACGATTAAGATAATTGTTCCGGCAGCTAATCAGACGGAAGCATGGCAGGCAGAGGGTTCGATTTCAGGGACGACACTTATCTTTACAGAGAGGGCTCAGAGGGGGTAGGTGGCATGGGTAATCAATTAACTGTTCCCAAGCTTAGAGAGGTGCTGTCTTATGAATGGTCCTGTCCACAACATTACAGAGAGGAGATGATCTAAAGCAGAACATCTGACAACAAGAGCACATCTGCTCTCAAATTAGTGTTTAATTACTTTTCACAATGACTGTTTGTAAATGTGACTGTTTGGGCTATTGCATGCAAAAACCTAGCCTGAAATTACAGGAAGTATGAATCATAAACCTGAGAAGGTGAAAGCAGAGGTAAGGAGGTGGAAATATACATCAGCAGTTTTTCAGCAAGAAATTCTAAATTAAATGCGGACTCCTGCCCTTCTTGCCCTGTAGAGAATGCAGTTGGAGCTGCGCTGCTCCGTGTGTTAGATGACTCATACTGTGCGAGAGCAGGATTAGTAGATTGGAAATGGGTTTCCGGAAAATCGGAGGTGAGCAACCATCTTCTCTCGGTCAGAACGATGTTGGTTTTCATTTCTCAGCTTTGTCTTCTCTAAAGTTTTTTCTCCCCATTATTTTGTCTGGTCAAATTATAACCTAAAAAAAACAAAAGAGACATCAATGTCAGGGAGATCACTAAAATGTAGGCTATATATATATATATATATATATATATATACAGTGTTGGGGAAAGTTACTTTTAAAAGTAATGCATTACAATATTGCGTTACTCCATGAAAAAGTAACGAATTCCGTTACTTAGTTACTTTTTATGGAAAGTAATGCGTTACGTTACTTTTGCGTTACTTTTTAAATCTGGACAGGGCTTGCTTGTTTGTTTTTAAATTAAAATAAGTTATATTTTTGGCGAATATAAAAGCCTTTTCACACCAAAAGTGAAATGAATAAGCCTCAGGCTGAAGGGAAAGTACATTTACGTCCGTACAGTAGAATGCAGAAGAAGAAATGTTGAAATGTTGATGTAGAAACACACTTCAGCAATAAAAAAAGACACACAAATGTTTGTCTAGAGTAATTTGTACATATTAGTACGGTTGAACTGGATCATCGAAGGTCAGTATAAATACATAAAGGATATTTGTGTTGTTTAACATTTAATTATTGCAGGTTTGCGTCATATTCTGAGATGCATTATTATATATACTGTATATGGTCACACTTTAATTTGGGGACCAATAATCACTATTAACTAACTATTAATTGTGCCTCAATAAATTCCAATTTGCTGATTATTAATAGTTAGGAGGATAGTTGTAAAAGATCTAAAATATTGTAATGCAGAATAAGGCATTATGTGCTAATAAACTAATAAACAGGCAATATGCTAGCAATATGCATGCTAATAAGCAACTAGTTAATAGTGAAAATGAGTCCCTAATGTGTTACAATATATGTATGTGTACGTGTGTGTGCGTGGGTGTATATATATATATATATATATATATATAATGGCTCTTCTATGACATTGCTGTGAAAAACACCCTTTTGGAAGCTCTATTTTTAAGGGTGTTTTACATTTGTAGTTCAGTTCTCTTGGTCTGGATCAAAAAGTAAATACATTTAGTCATTTTTAATACTGTAACCAAAGATACAAAGCAAAAGGCATAAGGATACAGTCACAACCTTATTGGACCGCTTTTATGACAGGTGTTCATATTTCAGTCAAACCACACAAGAGTTTGGAAACGGACTGAGATTAACCTTTTCATGGGTTCTCAGTTCACTTGTTTGGTGCACAACAAGGATGGCAGTGTTCACACTTATTCACATGAACAGCAGTTGGTTTTAATCAAACCAAACCTGCCAAGTGTAAACACATTCTAATAGTGTATATATAGATTACTAGTTGAGCCATGATTAGCAATTTGGGTGAATCTCACAGAAAACATCAAGAAATGTTTGGATCATATCATCACAAATTCAAAATAAAGAAAGAAAGAAAGACAATTTTAATTTTACTTTACAGCAAGGACAGTTGAACATAATGTTGAAAATTATTAAAAATAATTATAAAAATACTGTTACTGCAAAAGAAGCTATTTATTTATTGATTGATTGATTTTGTGGTGTAATATAGCCCAGACATTTCTTTGGTTGACCCATTTGCCTTTTATGCATTTGCAGTTTTACAAACGCAATTCAATACTTTGTATACATTAACTTAGTGTGTTGATCACATCATCCATCAGTATATCATTATTGAATAGCAACTGAGTTTTTTTTTTATTTTTTAGAAAACACCCACTGCATTAGTGATGCCGTACATATAGAGCTCTCAGTGGTGCAGGTGTATTTCTGTGTTTTTATGGTCCTTTCTAATGAGTCCTGTGGCAGAATATTGTTTCACATTATGCATGACTCTGTCAAGTCAAATGAATTGAGTGTGTTTATGGGGAGGGGTCATTGCCTATGACAAAGAATCTCATCTGGGGCTTTACCATACGCAAAATAACTCAAATTAGATTGTGGGTGATGTAAGCTCTACTAAAATCAGCGAGTAGCCCTCTGGGTCCTTTTCTTATTCTGGAGATATTAAAAGAGCTGATGGTGTGATTTGATATTTGCCTTATTATAAGAGTTGGTTTACTATACAGACAACAGCTAGTTGTCATTCCAATGCCAAATAAAGATCATATTTACTAGAATTGTTTTTAATAAATGCACTATTCCCACGAATGTTCGAACCTATACAGTAAGTTTGGAATTCATATTATTTGAAACTGGTAACTGAGTGAATTCTATCAGTACCATTCCATTTGACATTTATTTTTTAAAGTTTTTTTGCCAAACATTCTAAACGTTTTAAGGTTGAATATCAGTGAAAAATACTGTTTCAACCATGTGGTCACAAAGGTAATGTTAGAAAAATCTGAAATTAAAATGCAAAAACAAAAATAAAAAAAGTATTAATTTCTGCATTACAATCTATTGCCCAAGTTCAGTGTTCTCTTAATTATTTCATTGCAAGTCATGGGGACACAAAGCACAAATGGCTTTTTGGTAATTCCTGAGAATTACCCAAAAGCAGATGTAGTATCAAACCCCATAATTGCAGCATGTCTGTTGAGAGTAGCTCTTGGAAATTCACTTTTCTCTTGGACATTGAACAAAGCCAACGCACCACCTTTCATTCAGCAGTTTATCAGAAATATCTCCCCTTGACCAGGTGCACGGAGCAATAGAGCAGCTCTCTCTATCAGCCAAGTTCAAACCTCAAACTGCCTTTTTTTGTGAATCACTGCAGTGATAAAGAAATCCCATTAAGCGTTTGCCAGTTTGTACACCCCATCAATCTCACTTGTAGCAGTGAGGAAGCCAAAGAGTGTGAGAGGCATGTGAATGATAGTTAACAAAGGTTGTTTAAAACCTATTGCATTTATACTTAAAAAGTTAGAAAGGAACACCAAACACTCTTTACTTTGGCTAAAACATATTCAAATATTCTGAGAGTAATGAGTGATAGAAAAATAGCCAGATGTCCTCTACCTGCAGCTGTGAGATCATCATCAAGCTGCAACAGGCAATGATAAGACAACACTGACATCTCATTGATTCAGCCTCATCTCATTGATTTGACTCCTACAGAGAGGGACTGGAACCTTTGGATCTGTCTGCATCTTTCGGCTCCTGCTGGCCCACTGGAGAGAAAGGATAGTAACAAGATAATAATAAAGGAATAGTTCACCCAAAAATCGAAATTTGCTGAAAATTTCTGGCCATCCAAGAAGTAGATGGCTGTTTCTTCATCGGAACAGATTTGAAGTAATTTAGCATTACATCACTTGCTCACCAATGGATCCTCTGCAGTGAATGGGTGCCGTCAGAATGAGATTTCAAACAGCTGATAAATACATCACAATAATCCACAAGTAATCCACACGACTCCAGTGTCCAGTCCATCAGGCAATGTCTTGAGAAGCAAAAAGCTGGGTGTTTGTAATAAAAACATCTTAATGATGGATTTGTTTAACTTCAAAACCATTGCTTCCAGCTAAAATATCAGTCTTCTATCCATAATCTTGCTTAATCCAGTGAAAATGTTGTCTCGTCTGAATCAGTGGAGAAATATGATCAAGATCAAGCAATGTCAGAAACAGTTCTAAACAAATATGTCGATGGATTTTGATGCGAGACGAAACAGGGGATAGACTTTTTCACTGGAGGAAGTGTTAGTATGGATTATGGACTGATATTTTGGCCAGAAATTTAAAATGCCTTAATGATGAATTTGTTTCTTACAAACACACAGCTTTTTGCTTTAAACAAGACATTAACTGATGGACTGGAGTTGTGTGGATTATTGTGATGTTTTTATCAGATGTTTGGACTCATTCTGACGGCACCCATTCACTGCTGAGTTTTCATTGGAGTAATGTAATGCTAAATTTTTCCAAATCTGTTCCGATTAAGGACTCTAACTACATCTATATTTTGGATGACCCAAGGATGGTCCACTCCAAAATTGCAAATGTTTATATGAGTGTGAAATAAAAGGAAACTCACGTTAAGAGTTCAAACTCCACGGCACTTGGCAGTCATGCACAGTGAGAGCCGCACAGTAGGAGAGAATATGCTGTGATCTGTTCAGTGACGTCTATGAGCCTGTGATTGAACCTTCACTGTCACCCAGAGACCACTTGTAAAAGTCACATTTATTTTGGGATAGAAATGTATGCACACCTGAAGGTTAAATTACAAAAACACATTCATTGGTGAGGATCTAAGAAACGACTTTTTCAAAAAGAGAGATGTGCACCTGTGTGTGTTTACTACTGTCCCCAGAACTTAATTAAATCCAACAAAAGTTCACAACATTGTGGAGACTTTATGTCCCCAGAAGGATAGTTAAACTTGAAATCGCCTACATTGTGGAAACCAGTCACCATAAGGAAAAAAGCTTAATTAACATGCTAAATAATATCTTAATGAAGATCAAAAAATTCAGAAACGTTTGGGTGAGGGTTAGGTTAAGAGATAGAACATATTAGAAAATATTATGTATATATTTGCAAGGTGGAGCCCCTTTTTTGACCAATCTGATGGATGCTCTGTGTTTTGTTGGGAAAGCTACTAAATAAAATATTTATAAATAAAATTTAATTCAGAACGACATTTTAAAAATGCTAGTCCTTGAGGTAGAATCTTTTAGAGAAGTATAATTCAAGGCCACAATCGCTATGATGTTTGAGTCTCACAGGCCCAAGACGGCTGCCATCTGTGTCGCCAGCAGAAATGTTTTTGACCTCAATTAGCTCCCCTGTCTCTCCCCAGCACCTCAATGACAGTCTACTTCACCACACACAGACAGGTCCTTGATTTTAAAACTCCCGTGAAGTCACTATGGTTAACAACAGTTAAATATATTCCTATCCACTTACAAAACAAAAGTTGGTATCTGAGTTTTGATATCTTAGCTTTAAACATCTGAATGTCTGATCAAATACGTACTTCCTAGTAAGTAGGTACAACAACCCCGAGGTTCAATATGCCCCTGATTTGATTTGATTTATTTCTTTACCTAAACACTAAAAAGCAATTAACACTATTACAGCACTTGTCTAAACACTGTTTGACACTATGCACTCCAAAGGCAATCTTGATTAATGAGGTCTTCACCTGAAATGACAAACCATCATATCTGAGGTAATTTCATATACAGTGGGTATGGAAAGTATTCAGACCCCCTTAAATTTTTCACTCTTTGTTATATTGCAGCCATTTGCTAAAATCATTTAAGTTAATTTTTTTTCCTCATTAATGTACACACAGCACCCCATATTGACAGAAAAACACAGAATTGTTGACATTTTTGCAGATTTATTAAAAAAGAAAAACTGAAATAACACATGGTCCTAAGTATTCAGACCCTTTGCTCAGTATTTAGTAGAAGCACCCTTTTGATCGAATACAGCCATGAGTCTTTTTGGGAAAGAGGCAACAAGTTTTTCACACCTGGATTTAGGGATAGTATTTATATATAGTATAAAATTATAAATATTTTGCCATATTATTGCCCCTTATCACTATAGTCCACCAGGGGGCATTTTGCACATTTAGCTGCCTTTATATTTGCATACTTTTAATCAGAAGATCCTTTTATCATTTATTTTTATTTAATTTTGTTTAATCCCATTATTGAAAATATTTTTAAATTGTCCAGTTTTTGGAGCAGAAAAAAAATATATATATATATATATATATATTACACTGATGAGCATGTTATTTTTATATTGTTTTCTATTTGCTCTATCTAAATTTGGAGGCAGCACCCTGACCCTCGCCAGCTGTCCATCATTACAGTGTTTAGTAAGCTAGTTAATAGACTGCCTCTCAGATCACAGGTCAGCCACTCACATGAATTTTATCTGAATAGTCTCATTAAATTTTTTGCAATTTTCTGAGAGGAATTTCTTGTGCAGACATAATAATCAGAAACAGAAATGCATTATTGATTCACTTAAACTCAATTGAAATAAATGTAAACAATTATTTGCTTTCCCCAAAGTTCACACTTTTAAAAAAAATTTTGGTGTATGGATTGCGTGTATGTTTTTTTTTTATTATTTTTTTTTTAATGTTTTTTCCCTTGTGGAGCTTGAGCTTGTGTATGTTCAATATGACCCATCTTTGTACTGAAATAATTTTTTTCTCTCTGCATTTGTGTTTCATTGAAAGAAATGACAGGATTAATAGATGTTAGAATGACATGAGAGTCAATATTTTTCAGTTTTGGGTGAACTGTTTCTTTAATGGCATTTCCTGATATGTGGAATGTCTAAAAAAAAGAAAAGTTCATTAAAGGACTAGTTCTAAATCTAAATTTGCTGAAATTGTACACACCCATAGGCCATCCATCTAAAGGAGTTTGTTTGTTTATTGGAACAGATTTGGAGAAATTTCAGCATTGCATCACTTGCTCACCAATGGATCCTCTGCAGTGAATGGATGCCGTCAGAATGAGAGTTCAAACAGCCGATAAAAATATCACAATAATCCACAGTAATCCACACCACTCCAGTCATCAGTTAGCAACTTTTGAAGAGAAAAGCTGTTTGTGTAATAAACTAATGCATCATTAAGATGTTTTTAACTTCAAATCGTTGCTTCTGGCCAAAATATGGAGTCCTTAAAAATGAGTTAATGATGGATGTTTCTCCTTGGATGACTTTATCAGCTGTTTGGACTCTCATTCTGACGGCACCCATTCACTGCAGAGGATCCATTGAACTGTTTCTTTAATGGCATTTCCTGATATGTGGAATGTCTAAAAAAAAAAGAAAAGTTCATTACAGGACTAGTTCTAAATCTAAATTTGCTGAAATTGTACACACCCATAGGCCATCCATCTAAAGGAGTTTGTTTGTTTATTGGAACAGATTTGAAGAAATTTCGTCATTGCATCACTTACTCACCAATGGATCCTCTGCAGTGAATGGATGCCGTCAGAATGAGAGTTCAAACAGCCGATAAAAATATCACAATAATCCACACCACTCCAGTCATCAGTTAGCAACTTTTGAAGAGAAAAGCTGTTTGTGTAATAAACTAATGCATCATTAAGATGTTTTTAACTTCAAATCGTTGCTTCTGGCCAAAATATGGAGTCCTTAAAAATGAGTTAATGATGGATGTTTCTCCTTGGATGACTTTATCAGCTGTTTGGACTCTCATTCTGACGGCACCCATTCACTGCAGAGGATCCATTGGTGAGCAAGTGATGTAATGCTTAATTTCTCGGTTTTAATGAAGAAACTCATCTACATCTTGGCTGCGTGGGTGAATTATTCCTTTAATGAACTTGTTTAATTCACTTGTTGTTTAATTAATCAATAGTCATCATCACCACTCCTTTAATCAAGCTGCTGGTTTCTGGCAGAAACTGATGTTGATTTCAGCTTAAGTTGATTATCTGAAACCCATTTGTTCTCTCGCGCATCACAGAGTGCTTATTTGTTCGTTGGATTTATTCACCTCGCAGCCCTCGTCTTTTAGCCTCTGCAATGCAGCAGTAGAACAGTAAAATGCATTAAGGTCCGTCAGCTGCAGAGTTCAGTCGATTGGGGGCATTTATCATGAGGGTGCTTTCTATCTTTAGAAAGACTATCAACACGTCAGTGCGGTCAGGGCAAGCATCAAACACAGCACTGTCATCCGAAGACCGTGTCTCCCGGCCAGGACGGAAAGAGAACTGATGCGTCCGTTCGGTTCAGCGAGCTGATGATTGCCTCAGCGAGAGAAAGACCCACGGTACATATCAAATGGAGGATTCAGTCAAGAGGAACAAGTTAAAACAAAGCTTTTTGTTCAATTTCATCACAGAACATATCACAGGCTTCTCTGATCATTGCAGTTGCATAGCATGTTTCAACTGTAAAGTCAAAGTAACACTCGTCTTCATATTCTAGAATCTAGGTCATATTTAATAACTTCAAACCTAGCTTGTCTCCTCTACCCAAATCCTTTCAGTATCCAAAGACCATTTTCTTGAGCTGTTGATAGGCAAGATGCATGCAGGGGTTAATTTCCCATTGTTATTTCTCATCTCATTATTTCCTGGTTTTCAATAGCCAATTATGCTTCCATTACTGCCTTCGTGGCACCACATCTCACAAACAATATGACACACAGCTCCTGAAGATAAAAGCCATAAACTATTATATACCTGAAATATGATTTGCAATAAAACCAAGATAGTCTTCAATATCTATTCAATACGTCTGCAGCACTCATTGAGAAGATAATGGTGATGAAGGATCAATGTGTATTCATCTCTCAGGTTCACAAGCCAATGGTGTTCAGAGCCATTCAAATATGGAATATCTTAAAGGGATTTTTTACCATCATTTACAAACCCTCATGCCATTCCAAAACAGCATGACTGACTTTTTTTCAACTGAACACGTAAGATATTTTGAAGAACACTGGGGTACACACAACATTAAAACATTTTAACAGAAAAATTATTTTTAAAAAACAAAGAAAAAAAAAAAAAGTAAATACACTAACCTTTATACAAATAACATTTGTAAAATAAATAAAAATAATTTACACTGAAAATGAAAAAAAACAAATGACCAACAAATGACATCACTGAGGACCAGTGTTGGGGAAAGTTACTTTTAAAAGTAATGCATTACAATATTGCGTTACTCCATAAAAAAGTAACTAATTACGTTACTTAGTTACTTTTTATGGAAAGTAATGCGTTACGTTACTTTTGCGTTACTTTTTAAATCTGGACAGGGCTTGCTTGTTTGTTTTTAAAATAAAAAAGTTATATTTTTGGCAAATATAAAAGCCTTTTCACACCAAAAGTGAAATGAATAAGCCTCAGGCTGAAGGGAAAGTAAATTTACGTCCGTAGAGTAGAATGCAGAAGACGACATTTCAACACACTTCAGCAATAAAAAAAGACACACAAATGTTTCTCTAAAGTCATTTTTGCTTATTAGTATGGTTGAACTGAATCATCGAAGGTCAGAAGCAAAGGCATTGGTTAACAGAATGGGATTAAATACATAAAGGATATTTGTGTTGTTTAACATTTAATTATTGCAGGTTTGCATCATATTCTGAGTTGCATTATTTTTATTCATTTGGAGGAATACTGAATCTGTGTGTTTTTTT